CAGCCTGGAAAAAGGAGTGCCCTCTACAAACACCTCTTCTGTTTTACGATCCATACACTGTGAGAACCAGCTTTTAAGAAATCTGATAATAAAAATACAACCATGCCCTGCTCCAGTGGGACCCAGCTACTTTGTCCATCGACAGCATAGGATTTGGTGACTCCACCCAGCACTCAGTGCTTCTATCAGAAAAGCAACTTTGGAGATTTCTCTCAATGACATGAAAAGTAGCCTTGCAGAGGATCAAAAAAGGGAAGGACAGGGACATAGATTTAGTAAATCCTGAGTTGCAGGGATTTCAACCGTCAAAGGCCAAGTCAACTTTTTTGCATAGTAACTGTAGGCCTGGAGCTGTAAGGACGGAGACTTTCTCAGGACATAGGCCTCCTGGCCCTAGCTAACTGGGGCAGCTGTCTGCTGGTCTTTTCCTCTTTAACCCATGGGAAGTGAGGCAGTCTGCCTGTGCTGACTGGCCTCCCAGCTGCCCAGGCAGAGGCGTCACGGGAGAGCAAAAGCAAGAGAAAAGACTGTCACTCAGCCACAGTAGCTGCTGGAACACAGGCTTGCAGCCTTGTCTGCATTCCCCCTCCCCCCACCCCCCCCCCCAGCAGCCGCAGGCCAGCGCTTTCCTTCCTCTTGCCTCTGATTTGCAAATTTACAAGTCAGGAACATTCCTGGGGGTGGGGGCGGGATGGTTATGAACTCCCTAGCCCAAGGAGAGAGAGAGCAGGAGCAAAGTTTCCAGGTCATTTATAGCAGTTCCTTGACGTCGAGGAAAGGGAAGGAAAGGATTTTGACAAATACCTTGAACTAAAAATGGGGAAATTAAAAAAAGGGGGGGCTTATAAAGGTTAGGATACTTCTTTGCTTCCTTGTTTCACATGAGCAGCCACTGAGAAGTCAGCTGGCTTCCAGTGTCTTCTATAATTGAGGACTGGAGTGACATGGATAAATGAACATCACAGATAATCCGCAAAGCTCATTCTTATCCATTAGCTTCAGCCTCTTCCCTCTCTGGGTCTTCTATCCCAGCTCCTGATAAGAAGAAAAGCAAGTAAGGCTTGTCCTCTGATGAGGGTGTGAAGGCACAGGAAGGAAGCCAAGGTTCAGAAGGACTCTCAGGGGACTGGACAAAAGGCCTGTGGGTGTGCTGGGTTTCTTCACACGGAGGGGAACGACTCCCAGCTGGCGAACTGGGCGGGACAATCTAATCCAGTCCAGTTCCTTTACAGAAGGGCTAGCTGAGGCTCCATTGTAGAGGAGGTGGAACTTTCCTTCTAGCCTCTTAGGGTCAGGCTGGGTCCGAGAATTAAGTTGACATTAAGATTAATGAGAGAAGAGCATACAGATTTTATTATTACATGCTCATGGGAGCCTTCATGGGAAAATGAAGACCCAAAAAGTGGTTGGGCCCAAGTGCTTATGTGCCACATTGGACAAAGAGTATTAATTGTGAGAGAGTGCCAAAAATACATGGGGATGCTAAAGGAAGCTAAGAGTTACTTGAACAAGGTTTGTTTGCACTGATTCTCTTGGTGCCTTCTCCCTATCTCTGGTGAGAAGAATGTTTCTTTCCTCCTGATATAGAGAAGGCAGCTCTCACATCAGAGTTTCATCTCTTGCTTTTAGGGAGAAAAAGGGAGATCAGAGGGCCCTTTTTGCATCTGCTGTTTTCAAGTGCTTTATTTATTTATTTATTTATTTATTTAAAATAAGCTCTACCCAGAAGGTGAGGCTTGAATACATGACTTGGAGATCAAGAGTCACATGCTCAGGGCACCTAGCTGGCTCAGTCAGTAGATCATGTGACTCTAGGTAACACACCAAGTTAGGTCATGAGTTACAATTTGAAATCTTGCCATTTGTGACAATATGGATGGAACTTGAGAGCATTATGCTAATTGAAATGTGAGACAGAGAAACACAAACACCATATGATCTCTCTTACATGTACAATCTAAGGAAAAAAACCCAATGAACTCATAGATAACAGAGAACAGATTGGTGGGGCATGGCGGTTGACAAAATGGTGAAGGTGGTCAAATGATATATACTTCTAGTTATAAAATAAATATCATGGGGATGTACAGTATGGTGACTATAAGTAAGAATATTGTGTATCTTATTTGAAAAGTTGCTAAGAAAGTAGATCTTAAAAGTTCTCATAAGAAAAAAATTTCTAACTACAAATGGTGAAAGATGTTAACAAGACTTATTACTGTGGTGATCCTTTTGGAGTATACACAGACTTAGCCAGCCAGGTGCCCCCCTCCTTTTTTTTGCAATATATACAAATATCAAATCATTATGTTGTACACTTGAAATGAATATTGTGTTGTATGTCAATTATACCTCAATTAAAAAAAGGGAGGAGAATTCAAACTGAAATCTTGAACTCCAGTCCAGTGCTATTTCTACTACACCACCAAGCCAAAGCTTTTTACAGTACTTTCTTTCATTAAATTGTTTTTCATGGATTAAGTTCACTTTTGTTGTTTCATTATATTTTGAAAATAAATGAAACACATGCATGTTTTTTTGTTTTGTTTTGTTTTTTTTACCAAGAACATTCTTTTCAGCCTCAGTCTGTGTTCTCTCACTCAGACTCAATTATTTCCCCCTCACTTTTGACCTCCCAGATTCCAAAAAGGATGGGCACAACTTGAGAGGTGTTTCAAATCCCAAATCAGGCACGTTCCTATCTCTGTTGCTGTTGGTGACCATTAGGGCTTGGTGGGACCTTAGCCAGAGTCTGGTTTCATCCTCTCTCTTTGTAGAGGAGAAAACCGGATCCAGAAAGACTGGTTTTCTCAAGGCCACACAGCCGGCTAGTCAACACTTGAGTTGACTCTGCCATTTATCAGGCTAGCTCCATGTAGCTGCCATGACATACATGGATCTCTTCCCCTTGTCTCCCCTCACCGGGATGCATGGGTGGATGCTTCTGAAATAGGCCTTGGAGGACACGGGAGATCAAGGGCAGGACCAACCTCTCTAAGGCCACCTTGGATAGTCTAGGGAAACACCACCCCCTTAGATGCTACTAAGATCTGCAGGGAATGTTAATATGGAAGACTCTAGAGTGATCTAACCTTCATCTAGCCACTCCGTCAACAAAATCATCCCAATCCTCATTCATTGGCACTATTGCAGATATATATGTGGCACTCAGGTTCAGAGGAGTGAGGTTCTGGATTTCTTTTGACCACCTGGGGAATGTCCTCCTTTTGTGAGAAGATTTCAAACAGTTTTTCCAAATGTAGCCTTTTCTATTAATGGACAAGCAATAAGTTGAGTACATTTAAGGGGTCAAAGATTCACAGAAATACTTCTAATTGAGGTCATTTTAGGTCTTGGGATACAATCACACTCTATCAATACTCCATACAAGGTCTCAGCAATGTGTGACTGCAATATGAAGCAGATAGAAAACACACAGTCATATTCAAAGGGTCCAATGGCTCGAATCCCACTCAACTGCAGGCAGGCTCAGAAGTCTGTATCTGATGGCAGGGGCACAGGTGCTTCAAGGCCAAAGGGCAGCACGAGGGAAAAGTTGGGGGGCAGGACTGGAGGGAGAGATGAGCCCATTGCCCATGCCCCTGTTCATCACTACTGGGGCCTGGTGGGGTCAGGGAAGGAAGATGTCCTTCATGTTCTTTTGGGTGACAGGTAGGAATAAAGGTTCCCATTTGTCAGCTGGAAGCAATACAAATGACAGTGTTGGTGAGTGAGAAGTGGGGAACGACACCACTGAGGGTTAAGCATTCCAAAAAAAAAAAAAAAAAATAGTCAATTTTCCCTCCGGCATAAGGCTGATGGGATACAGGAGGCCTGGTCTTAGGGGTGTTGTTAGTCCAGTGCTCGAATCAAATGGGAATCACGTGGTTATCATGGAGCTTCAGGTACCCCTGAGAGAACATCCTCTGAACAACATTTAAGTACCTGGTCAAGAACACCAATGAATTAATAATCATTTATTGTAAATCACTCATAGTGTACACATTATTAATGGCAAATAAACACCTGCTGGATGAAGAACTTCATTGTGACAATTTCCAGTTGGCATCACTTCTTTTTCAAACATTTTAAATTAAAATTCCAAATTCCCACCTTTCCCGAAAAGATCTATCTTCGAAGTGCTCCAACATCTTTCTTTTGCTCTAACAACTAAAACAAAGGGCACGCGGTCCCATTAATTCAACATGCTCTTTACAAGGCAACTTAACACACAACATTTTTTTTACTTCAGAAGCTACATAATGATCACTTTATATTTTGCTGCAAAATCAATGAAGGCTGCATGCAGGGGAAACATTAGTACACACTGAGTTCTAGATAACTGTCGGTTATTAAGATCTGATGGCCTAGTGTGGAAAATTAATATGCTTATTTAGCAGTAGTAGCTAAAGTACATGCATCAGTGGCTGGGATCAATTAGAATATAAATTAGATGTTTAAACATTTAAATGAGAGCTTAATTTGAGCTTAATTTTATGTCTGGCACATCTGCGTTATACACCTTTAAAATGACAATAGCAAAGAGAACAAAATCAAACACCTAAACAGGCACTGATTTATAGGGTCGGCTGGCCATAATCGGGACACAAAACTAGCCGGGCAGTGAACAGATCTCTTTGGAAGCAAAGACAGTGGAACATTAACAAGCTGTAAACAGGGCAAGAAAATAAGAGGGCCATTTCCTGTCATTTTTGAAAGTTTTCAATTCTCTTATTTAAATTTTTTTTAACGTTTATTTTATTTATTTTTGAGACAGAGAGAGACAGAGCATGAACGGGGGAGGGGCAGAGAGAGAGGGAGACACAGAATTGGAAGCAGGCTCCAGGCTGTGAGCCATCAGCCCAGAGCCCGACGCGGGGCCCGAACTCACGGACCGTGAGATCGTGACCTGAGCCGAAGTCGGACGCTTAACCGACTGAGCCACCCAGGCGCCCCTCAATTCTCTTATTTAAAAAACAACAAACACACAGTCTCAGTAATTACAAAACAGAAACATTCTTTAGTTACTTAGACCCTCTCTTTTGTCTTCTACCTTCAGATAATGTGTTTAAAAACAGTGCTGGGTTAACTGGTAGAAAAGAAAGCAAATGCTCTCCTGAATCACACTGAAAGAATATTAAATTCCTTCATCCTGTCAGGGTTAACATCAAGTTCAAGCACATGACCATGTGTGTTTGACATATTGTAGCTACAACGATTAAATCACATGTTCACACTCTAATGTTAAAATCATAGTTACATTGATGCTAAAAACTTTTTTTCATTAATAGTTATATCTTGACATTATTTTGAGACAAAGGAAAAGTTCCCAAACCACATAGATTCCTTTCCCTCCCCAGCTTCTACCCCCTCCCACATCCAATGAACAAGAGAACTATAGGAACAAAAGCCATGAACTAAGGTATCAATGGCAAACATGTTGGATGCCAGTTCCAGGTTCAAGTGCTGCCGTCTCCAGTCCTGGCTTTCCGGGCCTTGATCATTGGCTTGGTTGCTCGTTTGCGGTCAGTGGCCAGTCCCAGCCAGCACATGAGGTCAATGAACCAAGTGGTTGGGTTGAAATTTAAGCCAAATTCACTCGCAGAGTAGTCAAAGGGAAAGGTGTGGTGGTAATTGTGGAAGCCTTCACCTAGAAGACAAAGTGGGTATTGAAATAACCCCTCCCCACCTCTCTGCACAGGTTTATTTTCCCCCCTCGTCTGCTGAGAGTCTACCATGTGCAAGGCACTATGTCAGGCTCTCTGGGCAGCAGAAGACTTGGTGTCTGCCCTTAGGAAGAATTTACTTAGTTGGCTAGACTAAATCGGAACAGATTAAAAAAAAAAAAAGAAAAAGGTTATCAGCGCAGAGTCACAAGATTAATTTCCCCGTATGAACAACTACCATGATTTCGGAGCTGTACTTAGTAAGCTCAATGCTAAATGACTGATAACAGATCCTCCTTTTGATGTATGTTCATAAAAGGAAAATAGCCTCTGTGGGCTGGAGTGATTAAAGGAAGGCTCGTTGGATGACCCAGAGGAGCCCTGTTCAGATAGGTAAGTAAACTGAGGAGCCGGACTTTTACATGTCCCAAATCTGTCCATATATTATTCCACCACCACCCCCCACCTGCCCACCAGCGAATAGCTTTTCCTCTCTTACTTTTTTTTTTTTTTTTTAAAGTAAGGTGTTTTCAGGAGGGATCTCAGGGATTTTTTCATTTGACTTTTTTAAACAGCTTTATTGAGATATAATTCACCATATAATTCATCCATTTGAAGTACAATTTAATCGCTTTTAGTATTTTCACAGAGTTGGGCATCCATCACCACGATGAATTTTATAACACTTTCATTACCTAAAAGGAAGCTCCACACTCCTGAACTGTCATCCCCCAACCCCCCCCCCCCCCATCCCTCCAGCCCTACTTTCTTTCTCTGTCATGGTTAATTTTATGTGTCAGACTGGCTGGCCGAGGCATGCCCGGATTAAACATCTCTGTGTGGTGTGTCTGTGGGGGTGTTTCTGGATGAGATGAGCATTTGAATCAGTGGACTCAGTAAAGCAGATTACCCTCGCCAGTGGGGGTGGGCATCACTCAATCCGTTAAGGGCCTGAACAGAACAAATGGTGGAGGAAGAGGAATTTGCCCGTTTTTTTCTGACTCACTGACTGAACTGGATCTATCTCTTCTTCCCTTGCCCTCAGACTGGGATTTACATCATCTGCTCCCTGGTTCTCGGGCCTCTGGACTCCAATTTAATCATATCACCGGCTTTCCTGAGTCTCCAGCTTGCAGACGGCAGATTGTGGGATTTCTCAGCTCCCCTAATCATGTAAGCCAGCTCCTCATAATAAATCTCTCTCCCCTCCCCTCTTCCCCTCCCCCCTCCCCTCCTTCTTTCCCTATGCATACACACACACACACACACACACACACACACACACATATATACATATGTGTATATATGTATACATACATATATATACACACGAAACAGGAGGCTACCTATTTATGTCCTACAAATATATACCTATTTATATTTATATAGATATTGTACTGTTTCCCTATATATACGGGGATTTATGATGAGGAACATATAATATATATTACAATATATATAAAAACTGAATAGTGTATGTATAACATATATATACATATACATAAATGTACTGATTCTGTTTCTCTGGACAACCCTAATATAATCTCTGTAGATTTGCTTATTCTGATCATTTCATACAAACAAAATCATACAATATGTAGCCTTTTGTGACTAGCTGCTTTCACTTAGCATCATGCTTTCAAGGTTGTAGCAGATATCAGTACTTCACTTCCTTTTATTGCCAGATAGTATTCCGTTGTATGGATGTGCCATACTGTATTTATCCATCCATCAATTGACAGACTATTGGATTATTTCTGCTTTTTGGCTATTACGAATAATATTGCTATGGACAGTCATATACAAGTTTTTGTGTGGACCTATATTTTTATTTCTCTTTGTGTATGAATCTGGGAGTGGAGTTGTTGGATCACATGATAACTATTTTTAACCATTTGAGGAACTGCCAGATTTCTCCTTCACTTCTTTTTTTTTAATTTTTTTTTTATTTTTTTTTTCAACGTTTATTTATTTTTGGGACAGAGAGAGACAGAGCATGAACGGGGGAGGGGCACAGAGAGAGGGAGACACAGAATCGGAAACAGGCTCCAGGCTCTGAGCCCTCAGCCCAGAGCCCGACGCGGGGCTCGAACTCACGGACCGCGAGATCGTGACCTGGCTGAAGTCGGACGTTTAACCGACTGCGCCACCCAGGCGCCCCTCTCCTTCACTTCTTAAATAGGCCCTGGTCATCATGTAGTTCTTCTATTGACCACAGCCGAAGGATCTTGCTCTGTAATGAATATACCAGATGGATGGAACTGTGGTTTGCAGTTTTCTTTTTTTAATTTTTTATGTTTATTCATTTTTGAGAGAAAGAGAGAGGGAGAGAGAGAAAGAGAGAGACAGAGCATGAGCAGGGGAGGGGCAGAGAGAGAGGGAGACAGAATCTGAAGCAGACTCCAGGCTCTGAGCTGTCAGCACAGTGCCCTACACGGGGTTTGAACTCACAAACCGTGAGATCATGACCTGAACCCAAGTCGGATGTCCAACCGATTGAGCCACCCAGGCGCCCCTGCAGTCTTCTTTTTAATTTAGGTCTTCTTTACCCTGCTCCTTTCACCCTCATAATTTTTAGTGTTTTTCCTGCACTACAGTGTAGTATAGAGGAGTCTCCCCTGCTATTTTCAGAAGCAGACACTGTTCTGAGAACCTGTGCGTACCTGCCATCTATCACACAGTTCAGTGTAACGGGAGCCTTTCCAGGACCTTAATGAAGAAAACTGACTAGGAGCCCCGTGTTGACCTGGGTGGACTTAAAACCAGTACCCAGCTCTTCAAGGCCAGTGCCATGGTCACATTCCTTGGGTTTTCTGGTCCACCACCCCCACATCAGATGGTAACAGTCCATCTTGTCCCCTTGCTGTCTGCTCTCAGGGTCAACACTGGATATGGCCCCCCTCACTGCAGTCCAGGAAGAAGTAGAAGCATCAGAAACTCCTTCCAAGACACTTTTCTCTCTGCTTAGCTGGTTGGTCCCATAGTTAAATTTGGGTGCTTATTCCACCTCAGATTGCTGTTGTCAACACGGGGTCTGAGCCTAACAATGTGGTGGGAGAAACTCTTTGCTAGGTGATGCAGAGACCATTGCTACTTAGCCACAGGGCCTTCCCTTCCTGGGGCCGATCTCAATGCTCAAGGCTCAGCTTACCAAGAAGCTTGAGTGACTTCTAGAAAGATACAGCTAATGTCTATTTATTACTTACTATGTTTCAGCCACAGTGCTCAGTGCTTTAATGGGTATTAACACCTATAGTCCTCAGATCTCTGAGCTAGCTGCTATGATTCTCCCCATTTTAAAAATGCGGATGTAAATGTACAGAAGGGACAAGTAACTTCCTAAGACCATAAGGCTAGTCACAAACTAAGCACTTATTTCATGCTAAGCACTGTTGCAAAGACTATGTATTAGCTCATCTAACCCTTTGGTGGCCCCAGGAAGCAGGTGAATGCTATGATTATCTTCACTTTACAGGAGAAGACACAAGGTGCGGAGGAGCCAGATAACTCTCTCAGAGAGTAAGTGAAGGAACCAAGACTCAACCAAAGTTGTCAGAATCCAGCGGCCTCGCTCCGAACCATTCTGTGGCACCATGAGATGCCACACTCTTGTTTCTTCCCGTCTCTCTGAAGGCCTTTTTTCTTACAGTCGGTCAAATGATTGGACAGATGAATGGTCAGGGCAGTTTGAGAGAAAAGCCAGCTGCTACTCCTCCATTAGGAAAAATTTCACGGTAAAAATAAATAGCTCCTAATTATTGATCACTTACTATATGACAGACATTTTACTAAGCAGTTTACATATAGTATCTATCTTACAGCATATCTATATTGCATATAGCAGTTTACATATAGTATCTATCTTCATAACATCCCTATGAAGTAAGCATCACTCTTCCCATTTCACAGATGAGAAAACTCTAAATCAGAATGATTAGGTGACTTGCCCAAGAACCAGGATTCTAATACCGAAGCCCAAGTTCATCCCACCTGACTCCATTCCACTGCCTCTCTTTACAGAGTCCAGAAAACCTTTGGAAGGTTAAGAAAATCTGAGCTGCCATGCTCCCCATTGGCTCTCACACCCCTACTCACCAATGGCACCCAGGGTGACGAGTGGGTTCTGCCGAGGGCTGATGTGCTTGTCGTAGGGCCGGTTTCCATACATGTGGGCAGCACTGTTGACCAGCCAGCTGATGTTGAGTGAGATGGTATAGCGGAGGATGGAGGCCAAGAAATAGGAGTTCCACAGACTCTCTTCCCAGGCACACCAGGGTACCAGCGTGGGGATCACAAAGCACATGAGCACCACAGTGATCTTATAGTACCTGGAAGGCAGGACATTACACTACCATCAGGCACCTGTTGATGGTGGCAGAAATGAGATGAACAAGCTACATACAGGAAAAGCCAGGAATTGTGCCCATCAATTCCTTCAACTCTTTCTGGATAAGAAGTACCCTGTTGTGTGTTGCTCTGTACAAGGGTCACAAACCCATATACCTACAAGGCAACACAAGTAACCCAAATTTGAGAATTAGGATGGGTAGAATGCTATGGAAAGTGGTAGGACCTGTAGCATATTTCGGAAGAATTTCAACATAAAACAACCCATGCTGTGCTGGTGAAATCCGGGTATCTCAGAGCTACATTTCTCCTATAGGTCACCAGTTCGACAACTCCTAGCTACTTCTTTGACCAGTCAATCAACTTGGTACTCAGGTTTTCTTTCCTAAATGATTTCAAGGAATATGTATTTCTTGAATAATTTCCAGGCACATTATTTTGTACGAATGTAGCCTGGTAAAAAGGTAAACAATCCAATCCCCTCTCAAAAATGTTCTCTGTTCACTGGTGATTACATTCCAGGTCAGCATAAAAAATAAACAATAGTATAAGAACAAGCATGACCACATAAAAAGTAATCTTTAAGAAGAAACCATCAATAGTTTGATTTCCAGACCTATGTATACAGGAAACATTTACTGAGCACTTACTATTTGCCACACCATGAATACTGATGATACAAAGACAAATTCGACACAGTCCCTACCCCAGGTTTCAGTCAGGTGGAACCACTGTTCCCCACCCTCTAGCCATGTGGAACCAGCTCTATGCAGGCACAGGAAAGGGACTGTGATATGAGTTCATAGCTCTTTCCTCCCTGGCCTCACACTGGCTAATCGAGCTTCCAGAAGGCCAATGTTAAGGTGCATATGTATGAAATGGGAGGTGGCAGTGTGAGGGAATGTCATTCAGGAGGTAGAAGACTTGAACTTGAGTCTAGATCTGATTCTGAATGTTGTACAAGTCTTTTTTTTCCCTTTCACTCTCCTCTTATGCACAGTTAGATGATTCCACAAAGAGCACAGCATGAAGGCTTGTATGTGGATAGTCTATTTTGGGAAGAGTGAGACAGGGAAGGAAGGAATGCCAAGCCAGGGGTGCCCATGCTTTGGACACCTGAACTTGGACCATGATGGGACAGATTATACCTCAGAGTTATTCTCTCAAGGAAAGAAAGAAGGGATATTTTCCCATTGGTTCCAACTCCCTCCTGGTCAAGGGATGTCACATGGGATATTAGCTCCCTCATCTTTCCATGTTTGCTCAGGTCAGAATGGCTGAGTGCATTTCTGGAAGCATCTCAGGTGGAAGTGGCAAAGCAACCAGACAGGAAATAAGAAATAAGCAGTCCAGCTGAGCAAGGTGCTGTTGGTTACACCTGAGCCAGCAAGTGGCTGCAGCAACAGCTGGAATGAAAAGATGGGCAGAGAGTAGGAGGTGGGGCACAAGAGGTGTCCAACACAGGTAGTAATTATAATACCTCTAGGGGTCTTGTGAGGATCTAATAACTAATGTATACTATGTGCATATTATGTGTCACAGCTATTCTGAGACCTTTCCATGTACTGACTCATTTAATTCTAATAAAAACTGTAGGAGGAAGCGACCATTATTATCACCATTCTACATAGCAATGGAAAGATTATGTAGCTGGGCAAGGTCACAAGACTAAGAAGTGGTAGGACCAAGATTCAGATCCAGGCAGAAACACTTCAGAGACTATCATGCTATTCTGCTTTTGCAAATGAAATCACGTGTGTAAGTGTGTTTTGCAGATTTTAGCTGCATGTGTCAGTTCCCATAAAATTTGCTTCTCTTGGGCAACATGTTAACCCATCAGCACCCATTTTCAAGTCACTGGGATACAAGATGGCTGAATTTTAGTGGAAAGAGGGTACTTAGGAGGTCAGATGAGTGGGCTATGGAAACAGGCAATGAAGGGACTGGTGGTCTTAGATTAGGCTCCCTAAAGTCACATGCAGAAGGATTTTGGAGACTGGTCTTGAGAGATACTTGTAAGGAAGGGAGGAAGGCAGGTTGGACTGAGGCAGCTCATCCACAATGAGTTTCAGCAGATCCAACAGGGAGCTCTAAAGGATGACTCTTTAGAGTTGTCCCAAATTGAAAGGTATACCTGCATCATCCAGCCTTTGGCCTCAGGGTGCAGGGTGTAGGGCAGTTCCATGTGGGCAAGGGCAATTCCCAGAGAGGACAGTAGCTGTGAGGTGGGAGCATCAGCTGAAGAGGGGATCTGGGTAAAGCACGCAGATACTGGGCAAGGCCCTGGGGAACTGGTGGTCAGCATGTGGAGGGACGGGAGGAGGTGTTTTTATGTTGTAAAGCATTGTAGAATGGTAAACTCCCCAACTTTGCCATTTCCTACTGTGGTATCTTGAGTAAATTATTTAATTGCACAGAGCCCCAGGTTTCTCTTATGTAAAACGTGGTATTAACAAATTTACTGAGTTCCCACTATGTACCAGGTTCTGTCCTGGTACTAGAGATATAAAGTGAACAAATCAGACAAAATCCCTGCCCTTGGTGAGCAGGGGTATTCTGGTAGGAAGATTTGATAAATACATGCATTATGTATATACCATATAAAAATTTGCACATATTCTGGCAGGGGAGAGAGCTAATAAACAATATAAATAAATAATATATAAAACATGTTAGTGTAAATACTAAGATAAAAATAAAGCAGAGAAGGAGAATATGAAGCCAAGGGCAAGTGCTGACATTTAAAATAGGGTGTTGAGGGAAGGACTTAGTGACATTATGGCTTTTGAGTAAAGATATGAAAGAAGTGAGAAGTTAACCATGTGGCTAAATGGGGCAGAAATTTCCAGGCAGAGGAAACCACAAGTACAAAGGCCCTGCAGCAGGGTGTTCCTGGCACATTCAGGGACAAGCAAGAGAGTTGGGGCTGAAGCAGGTGAACGAAGGGGAGAATGTAGAAAATAAGAGAAAAATGGTGGGTTGAGTCACGGAAGGTGTGAGAGGTCATCAAAAGGGTTTCAACCTTTACTCTGAGTGAGATGGAGCCTTGGGCAGGTTTGGACTGAAGGAGCAGGGTGACCTGACTTATAGGTTAGCAGGGTCACCCGAATGTTGTGTTGAGAATGGACTGTGGGAGGAGGGGCAGAAGCAGGGAGAGTAATTAGGAGGCTGCCACAAAATCCGGGCAGGAGAAGATGTTGGCTTGGACCAGAAAAGGGGTGGTGGGTGTGAAAAATAGTCAAATTCTGGATATATTTTGAAAATAGAGTGACAGGACTTGTTACCAGACTGAATGTTGGAGAGAAAGGAGTCAAGGATGATATTAAGGATGGAGATGTCATTAGCCAATAGGAGGAAGCATGGAGGGGGTGCTGGTTTCGAGCAGCATATGAGAAGCTAGATCTTACACATGTCAGGTGGGAAATGCCCACTACACATTTAAGGGGCGAGGTCAAGTAGACAGCTTGATATTCAGGTCTGGAGATCAGAGGGTGCTCCAGAGAGAGGTTTGACAGGAACAGAAATTTGGAATTCATTAGCATATTAATGTATGACACTCACATACAAACATTTTTTTCATCTGAGTTCCACAATAGCCTTGTGAGATATCTATCTATCTATCTATCTATCTATCTATCTATCTATCTATCTATCTTTTATTTACTTTTAAATTTTATTTAAATCCAAATAAGTTAACATACAGTATAGTACTGGTTTCAGGAGTAGAACCCAGTGATTTATCACTTACCTATAACACCCAGTGCTCATCCCAACAAGTGCCCTCCTTAATGCCCATCACCCATTTAGCCCATCTCACCACCCAAGGTGGAAGTTCCTCCATCCCTGTAAGGAACTTATTTATTTGTAGGACATTTCTGGAGCTCCAGAGAGGTCATGGGACTTCCTCAAGGTCATACTGGTTGTACAAAGCATAGGCATCTTGCTACTTACTTGGCTTACCAAGAACAGGACACAGGGGATGGGTAAACTTACCCAGAAGTAAACCAGGCCAGAGTGTGGAATCTGGCCATTGTCCTAAGAGTTACACATATTTGAGTAAAGATACTACATTCCAGCTGGACTGAACTTCTTCCCATTCCTCAGGCACCACCTTTTCTATGTCCCCTGTGTCTATGACACTCTTGGCCTGGCTTACTTGATGTTTCCAAATATCAGTCTAAACATCACTTCCTCTGGGGGGAATTTCCTCTGTCCACCAGAGCAGGCAGGGTGCCCCTACCCAGTGTTCCTGTTGCATGTTGTACTTCTCAGCTTCATACTTGCTGGTGTAGTAAGTGGTTTGAGGTGAGGCCTCAGCCATGAATGCACATTTGAATCAACCGGGTGAACATTTAAAAATGACTGATGTGGGAACCCACGGCAGACCAGCTCAATCGAATCAGAATTTCTGTTCTGGACATTGATATTTTTAAAGTCTCTCCATTGCAGACAGACATTGATGGTAGCCTCCCTATAATCCACCCCCATCCTTTCTTTCTTGTTGGAATATCCTGATTTTGTTCAGATATTGAGCTGTTCTCCCTGCAGCCATGTCTTTCAGGGAATGTGGACTCTACCCAGGACGCGAGTCCTGATTGGCTTGGAGCAATCAGTGGTGATCTCATTCACTTTCCCAATAATTAATTTGGGAATTAGCCAATAGCGGTCAATAAGATATGAGGGGAAATGGGTATAATTTTTTTAAAGGGAAATAACAAATGTTGGTAAAGATGTAGAGAAATTGGAACCTTTATGCATTGCTGGTAGGAATGCCAAATGACGCAGCTGCTATAGAAAACAGTTTCTCAAAAGGTTAAACATTGAATTATCATACGACCCAGTGATTCAACTCCTAGGTATATGTTCAGAAGAATGCGAGGCAGGGATTTCAACATATATCTGTACACTAATGTTCATAGAAGCGTTATCCAGAGTAGCCAAAAGGTGGAAACAGGCCAAGTTTCCATTAATAGATGAGTAG